ATAGGTACCTAGGAATTGTGGATATCTCGGTACCAATCCTAAGCGGTTTACGGGCTCACCATAGCCCGTGCTACATGGACACTTCGTCCTGAGTAGCTAAATCTTCAACAACAACATGTGGTGTTGCATCCTGGGGGAAAGGGGGGGGAGGAAGGACCTCGATATCAGCCTATGTATAAACTGGCTTCCTGCATCCCCTTACACAATGACTTAAGTGTAAAAGTTGATATAAAAAACACACGTAAGGAGTCCGTGACCATAGCATAATTAATTAGTCATGAAATCAGAGCCTGTCATCCTTGACTGCTGTCAAGACATTTATCTGACGTGCATGTGTCTGAAACAGGGCATAGATATAATAAAATAATCCATGATGGAGTCTGGAGTCCGTCTCATATGGATCCCATCCCACATTGGCCTTCGAATTTATACTATTATACAGGATCACGTATGTATATCATTGATAAAGATTCAGCCACCCAAGAGGTGGCATGGGCATGAATAGCCCGTAATATGAATATGGGAGTCATCAAGTAAGGTCACACGGGAGACATCTCCCGTCAAGCAGGGTGCAGCCGCACCTCCACAGATCTCCAGTATTATCTATTGATACTGGTAATGGCTCAAAAGGGCCACCACTTACGGGCTATTCGTGCCCGTGCCACCTTTTGGGTGGCTTAATCTTCATCAATCAATCAATCAGTAAGGTCACCAGACAACCCCGCTCCTGTGCCAGGCAAGTCCACTACGGGCTCACCATAGCCTGTGCTACTTGGAACTTTTTGTTCCAAGTAGCGAATCTTAAACAACAACATGCTAGGCTTGGGCTTGGCTGCAAATACCTCTGGGAGTAAGTGAAGTCGATTCAATCAGGCACACTAAACGCGTAAATTTTAGATTGATTTAATTTGATTTGGAGTATATTTTAATAATTATGAAGAATGTCTTAGTTAAAGAGAACGTCGTGACTATTTTTTTTAATTGGGTTACATATTATCTTTTGTTTTATATTACATGTCAGACAGTTTAAGACTAAACATCTGTGATACTATTGCATATCTTGTCTTTGGAAATTGCCTGTCTTGGAAAAAAAAAAGGTTTGAAGAATAGTTTTAATTGTAGCCCCTACAATTAAAATTCCTGTTCCCACCGAAAAAAAAGAGACCATTATATATATTTATTTATATCTATATACAAGAAGGTACATTTGGTTTGTGAGGGTACATAACATTGGTGTTTTTACATGCTTGCAAAGCCACTAACATGCAGCGTTTCGGCCGAGTTCTTAATCAAACAGATCATTATTAATATAAGCATTGTATGTACTAACTCTATCTATAAATTCATCAATATCTGTATCACCCCTTGTATGTATGTACTTTACCTAAATAAACATTTGAATTTTGTTGAATTGGAGGGGGTAGAAATAGCCTAATCTACTCTATCCCTTTGAGATGTATTTCTTTCTTGTCTCAATAAACATACTTCAACTTGAACTATTAATATAATAATGCCCTGCCCGAAACGCTATGCGTGTTAGTGGCTTTACAAGAATGCAAAAGCACCAATGCTATGTACTCTCATAAACCCAATGTACCTTCTTGTATATAAATAAATAAATATTGTACCAAATTTGAAGAATATTAATAGGTACATTGTAGCAAAATTTGCGATTAACATAATAACTTCGATATAAGTTGATAAAGTGAAGTTGAAGGTGAAGTTGCATGTCTTAGACACTAATACTGGGGGAGTGGGTAGCGCAAGATACAGTGCGAGTTTGAAGCACAAAGTAGGAAACTATGAGGATGAAATTTAGTACTTTTTGGTTTTACTTTTGAATAAGGCACAGGTTGGACAGTGTTATAAATCGTTAGGTAGTGAGTTCCATAGACCATATGAGCTGGAGAATATTAAGTCCGTGTTATCAATATGGCGCGTGAAGCAACTGAGCTAACAGGCCAGCTGTCGCTGAAGATGATAGACTTAGTGACTATGCACTTAACGCCCTGGGAAAGCACTACGCAAACTAAACTCTTGCAAAAAATACTTAATTTACGATAGAATGGCGGCTTGGCGCCATATTTTCATAATTAGTTCCGACCGAAAGGGATTGCTGACTGGAACAGTACGCCAAGAAAATGCATTAAACTGTCGCTTTGGGAAAATTTTCCTATGGCCCGTATGGGGATCGAACCCACGACATCCGCGTTATTAGCACGGCGCTCTAACCAACTGAGCTAACAGGCCAATTGTGCCATATGTCTTATAGGACAAGACACTAAATTTACACACGCTTTTCATAAAACCTTCGTTGAAGGTTGGGAAAGAGATATTGACTTATCAGTAACTAGTTTACAAGGTTAAAAATGGCATTTTAGCCAGTTTGTGTAACCCGTCCTTAAACCAGGTTCGTTACAGTTCGTTACAGCAACTAGTAAAGGAAATTGGGCGGAACTCATCCTCCTTATTAGGCTTAGAAATTGGAATGATGATACTGTTGGTCAATGAAATAGGAAGTTTCCCAACTGCCCGAAACGCTTTGCGTAATAGTGGCTTTAGGCATTGTATGTACTAGCTCTATCTATAAAGCCAACAAACTTTGTAAATCTCTTTATGTATGTACCTTACCTAAATAAAGATTATTATTATTATTATTATTATTATTATTAATATAGCTCATATTCAACAGTTGAAGAAGGGGATTTACGGGTACTAAACTTTAATCATAGAATGCTGTGAAAAATATCTCCTTGGCCCGTATGGGGATCGAACCCACGACATCCGCGTTATTAGCACGGCGCTCTAACCAACTGAGCTAACAGGCCAGCTGAACAGGAAAATAGTAGACCAAAGAATTAGTCACATGGCTATTAGGAAGACTTAAGTTTAATTTATTATGCACATCATACCCACCATGTGGACAATATTGGGAAAAGTTAGAAGGGCACATAGCTCAGGACCTAAATATGTCAATTAGAAAATACTTTGAAGAAACAAGAAAATAAAAGGGGGGGGGCTGGCCCGTATGGGGATCGAACCCACGACATCCGCGTTATTAGCACGGCGCTCTAACCAACTGAGCTAACAGGCCATGCTTGCCAATAAAATACGGTAGTAGAGACTTAATTATTATTATTTTTTTTATTAATTATTTTATTATTTTTGTGTTATTATTTTTTATTTTTTATTAATTATTTATTATTATTATTTTTTTTTATATATATACTGCCGCTCACTGGATGAATATGGGTTGCAAAACAAATTGTATCATGGTCTAATGTATATTGTATAAATACAAATTATAATAACCGCCACTAACATGAACATAAGGAGTATGGACGCATTTCCATAAAATAGCCGCCGCCGCTGGCGGTACTAATGAATCAAGCAAAAATAAACACATGCCCGCACGAGTTCACAGAAAACAAAAGGACTTCCCGAGGTAATTTTATGAACCCACAACAACTTTCACTCTTGGCAATTTTCCGCGAAAAAGGATGTCCTGAAATTTCGGAGATTTCCGGAGCATTTTAGTAAAGTATTGCTCAACAGCCACTCCATTAGGCAACATTACGTTGCTCCTGACATATCAACGACAGCTAGTAGTTATCATCATCATCATCATCATCATCATCAATTCACCATCATTATTCTTTTTATTCTTCACCCCCTCCCATCCATCACCCATACTTTGAACGGTACGGTAAAATGATTTCTGGCACATGTCTTAATTAGACCCCCAGTGAATGTAGCCTGACAATTTCTATGGTCGGTCTTGTGTTTAATCACAATGACCTTTATTGGTAACAATCACTGCTTGTGATGTAACTTTTAATAAGGTACAACATAAAAGAACTGACAAGGAAATTGCAAGCACATGGAATAAATGATAGAGAATGAATAAAACAATAGTTGAAACAAAACGCAAATGGTCGTCCTAAACCTAAATGAATTTGACTTGAGAAATGTGAGTGGGAGTGCCGTAAAATTCCATTTTGGGACCAACCATTTTTGTCATTTACATCAATGACATATTAGAATATTACAAACCATACCATCAGCTTTTTCCATAGGCTCTATTTAATTTACTGAAAGTAATGAATCTGGATGTAATACAAGATTTTCAGGTATATTATTTAGGATTAAACCTCTATATCGAGTTTAACTCAGGCTTTATATGTACTCGCTTAATTGTGCTTGCTCTTTGTGCTTTGGCTCTTTGGTCCCGCCTCTCAACTGTCAATCAACTGGTGTACAGATTCCTGAGCCTATTGGGCTCTATCATATCTACATTTGAAACGTGTGTATGACGTCTGCCTCCACTACATCACTTCCTAGTGCATTCCATGTATTAACTACCCAATATCACATCGTGTGATCTAGTTTTCATACAAGCTGAACTGCCAAGACATTTGATTTTAGCTTTTATGGGGCAAGTAACAAAAGTATGTGTAGTTATGGTATCAAAATCTTCAGATATTAAAATCCATCTAGTCTAAAACACTGCATCTACTGTGTATCTCTACTTGAGGTGCCCAAATTTACGGTAATTTAAAAATATATAATCTCTTGCACATGAGAAACCATAATGCATTTATATAAAAATGGAATTCGCGTGACAATTTTTTGCTTGACATTCGGATAACATTATTTTAATGTACGTTTTTTTTAACCCCAAATCTTGCCTTTTAATATTAGAGATAAATTAATAATCCCAACTGACCTTGCAGCACACATCTTGAGTTCAATAATGCTGAAGGTTTTATGTTACTGATGTTGAAACGCTACTAGGTAATCGTTTCATTAACAGTGTAAAAATGGAGCAAGAAATAATTTTTAGCTTTCTGAACACAGGAATAAATACCTGACACTCAGAGTAGTACACTGTGTGTGCCCAGGCGGATGCAGACTGCCTTGAAATTTGCATCAGCATTGTCCTTCACCTTAAGTATCCTACTACATCAATAATTTTAAAATTTGAAAGGATCAGTACTTACTGCGACTGAGGGAGGCGCTTGTGTTTCAGAGCCTCTTCGTAGAGTGTGGCGACGGTGCAGTTCGTCATGGCGAAGGACTGGAGGCCGTGGATGTTGATGGCCCCGGAGAGGAGGCGACCAATTCTGACGCCATCCAGAGTGAGATGAGAACCTCCCGAGTAGCCAGACTCCTCCCATGACCCCACCCGTCCACCCACCATCTTGACTCTCCCGGCTCCAGGCAGTTCGAACGCCACCTGCAGCACAAAAAGTTGAATTAACGTATTATAGACCTCGTACTCATGCTGCAGACGGTGTTAGGAAAGTTAGTCATATAATGGGATCAGGAATTGCATGGATCCCAGTGTTCTTCTAAGCCAAGTCATTTATAATAATAATAATAATAACATTATTCACAACAATGTGTGTACAAAGAATATAGTAATGAACAATTGTAGGAACAGATACTAATGAAGTCACTATTATGCAAAGCGTTTCGAGTAAATTTACATTACATGAATTTACATTTAATTTAGGCGAATGATTTTTTTATATAAATATTTGAGCCTTATTTAAATAGAAAACTTCGACTGTTAAATTGACGCATCTCATTCTACCAAACAAAGATTCAACAAATGTTACCTTATAGTATGCACAAATCTTGAAAACTATATTGCCTCAAACAGTAACATCGTAAGTTTTAATTTAATTTTAATCTAATAGAAAATTGAAAACCTCTGGTGAAAAGAGAAGCCTCGCCGCTCACCCACCATCTTGAGCGTGAGTATGTCGGTACCAACGAGGGTGACACTGACGTTAGCCGTGGAGGGATAGCCAGAGAAGGAGCGGGTCTCCAGCACCCCCAGCTCACACTCCTCCACCAGTACCTCCACCTGGTGGCTGCTTCCCAAGATTCCCTCAGGTAACCCGCTTATCTTACTGGAGAAAGAGAGGAAACTAGGTAAGATGTAGTCAGCCAAAAGCCTATTGTTTCCATATGCAGGCGATGAGTCACAATAACGTGGCTGAAGAATGTTGACCAGATCACACACTAGAAGGTGAAGGGACGACGACGTTTCGGTCCGTCCTGGACCATTCTCTAGTCGATTGTCTTGATCGACTTGAGAATGGTCCAGGACGGACCGAAACGTCGTCGTCCCTTCACCTTCTAGTGTGTGGTCTGGTCAACACTATTGTTTCCATTTACAAACAGCTACAAAAACATAAGAGGGGTAATTTTAAGTGACTCTGAGTCAGCTCTTGAAGCACCTTGAAAACCCAACCTACAAAAAAAAAAGGTAATAAGAATCTCATTACATCAAATATTAATATATAACTAATGTACAGAAAAATTTTTTTGGATCTCCTTTCATTTATTATACACCCTATACCTATTCTGTGGGCGATAGTGTAAAAGGTTAGAGTCACACATATATGGGGTCAGGGACCGAATCCCCAAATTCATTTAGCTAAGCAAGTTAGTCTTGATGAGCTAATTACACGCATTATACCTACAATAGGTTTAAGAACGACCGTAAGTACAGTCTCTAAGCTAAGTAGCTTACATATGTTTCTAGTTTCAAGCTAGCCTTATAATTCGATTTACCTATCATGCACACCCACCCTCGACCCCATCCAGAGGGTGGCGGTGGAAAGGTTACAATCACCCACATTTACTGCCCATACTAAGTAAATTGGGGATTTGTATGGATATCATTTTGCATATATGTATTACCCAACATGATAGACTAGGTGGCTAACAAGGAAACAAACCTAAAATTGAACTAGACCTGTGTATCCCAATCTCCATTTGTCAAAACTACACAACTTCGTCTAAGTAGGCTCAGACAGACGGCCAATAACTGACACTCAATGGTTAAAAAAAGCACTAATTTAAAGAAATATGATTTGTTTACAACTGAGAGCTAAGTGTTCGGACAGCACAAAGCATAGTATAGTAATTGTCAGAATTAGGCAGGGATAGCACTAGTTATGGCAGGTAAATGAAGGTTACCAATACCTTTCTTTCTCTTAGCACCGAGTGCTCCCATTGTAAACTTTGAGAAAAGACCTAGGATGCATTCTTTAACATTAGTGAATATCCATTTATCAGTTATTTTAAACTAGTATGATGTACTTGGAGCTTTGCAAATATTTAATTCCTTCACGGATATTAGAAGATATCCTCATGAACAGTAGCCGTGCGGGGACTGACCTGTTGATGAAGGTGGCGGTGAGGGAGGGCAGTGTCTCCTCCTCCTCCGGGGCAATGTAGGCTCCCAGGCGGAAGCTTGGTGAGGCTTCCACCCACACCTCCAGGTGGTCACTCCGACGCACCAGATTCCACACTGCCGACGGCACCACCTGAGGCACCCACAAACTGTTATAAAGTGGGAGGTGGTGATGGTAGTAGAGGTGGTGGTGATGGTAGTAGAGGAGGTGGTGATGGTAGTAGAGGTGGTAATGGTAGTAGAGGTGGTGGTGATGGTAGTAGAGGTGGTGGTGATGGTAGTAGAGGAGGTGGTGATGGTAGTAGAGGAGGTGGTAATGGTAGTAGAGGTGGTGGTGATGGTAATAGAGGAGGTGGTGATGGTAGTAGAGGTGGTGGTGATGGTAGTAGAGGAGGTGGTGATGGTAGTAGAGGTGGTGGTGATGGTAGTAGAGGAGGTGGTGATGGTAGTAGAGGTGGTGGTGATGGTAGTAGAGGAGGTGGTGATGGTAGTAGAGGTGGTGGTGATGGTAGTGGTTGGAGGTATAATCGTAGTCTGGTGCTCACCTCCCCGTGGGACTCCAGAGGGGGGGGGGGGCCGCACCAAACTTCTGCCTAACAGTGGGTTTAATCTGCCTCAAGGCACAATATTATTCCCCTCGACAAGCGACGTGTATATAGCAGAGAGGCTGTGTATTTTACCTTACACGGTAACACCGGGGTACATCCGGATGTACCCCGGCAAAAATGGAACAAAAAAAACGACACCGGTGAGGCCCACAAGAGGTTGACAGCCAGGGACTCAACATGACTCTGGACAAAGGGTTGACTGCCAGGGACTCGCATGGTTCTAGATAAGAGACTGTCAGGGACTCGCATGGTTCTAGATAAGAGACTGTCAGGGACTCGCATGGTTCTAGATAAGAGACTGTCAGGGACTCGCATGGTTCTAGATAAGAGACTGTCAGGGACTCGCATGGTTCTAGATAAGAGGTAGCAGCCAGGGACTCACATGGTTCTAGATAAGAGGTAGCAGCCAGGGACTCACATGGTTCTAGATAAGAGGTAGCAGCCAGGGACTCACATGGTTCTAGATAAGAGGTAGCAGCCAGGGACTCACATGGTTCTAGATAAGAGGTAGCAGCCAGGGACTCACATTGTTATGGACACTACAGCCGGAGATATGTAATGTGGAGGTGTTGACCTTGAGGTGTGGGGCAGTTGGCAGCCAGGAACACTTGAGACCTACTACCTCCTCCAGGCTTCTTGATACATCCTGGAAATATATAGATTGTGAAATTGTCATTCATATATGTATATATATATGCATACATGTGTCAGACCACGGAGGAAGAATTGAAACAGGAATTTCCTTAAGTACTTTCGTATTTAATAATACATCTTCAGAAGGGTCGTATTATTCCTTCTGAAGATATATTATTAAATACGAAATTAAGAAAATGCCTGTTTCAATTCTTCCTCCGTGGTCTGATACTGTCACATTTTTTATCTCGTGTTAATTTTTGTGATTGACACACACAGTTATGTGTGTGTAAATATATATAATATTTAAAGAACCAAGTAATATGGGTGAACATACTTCGCCCTTCTTGCAGTAGCAGGAGACGTTAAGGGAGACCATCTCTTGGTTGTCCAGTACCGTCTTGCTGGTTTTAAGCCGACATTCTTGCCTCATTTGTGTGCAGTCTTGCCCCAGCACCGCCACCACTACCACCGCCAGCACCACCACCCACCACACACCGATCCTCGTTCCCTAGGGATAACAAGAATGTCTATTGCTAGCAGGTTATTTTACGGGCTCACCATAGACCGTGCTGCTTAGAATTTTTTGTTCCGAGTAGCTGAATCTACGACAATAACTGTCGGCACATTCTTATCGGCAACTGAGCCGATAAGAATGTTCAGATGGATTTAATACTTTTGAATTTTGGCAAACTGTGGGTAGAGTGTGAGAATATGTTCTAATGTACGTGAGTGATTGAAATTATATTAATATTTGTATATATAATAATACAATTTTGACCTAAACATTCCCTCTAATGCGTTATGTGTGGTTTCCTCCGAGGGTAAGGGTCCCCTTCTTCCAGCCAGAGGTGGTACTCCCTTCCTATATTTTAATTATATAAAATACAGAGGATACAGTATTTGTATACTTTATTAAGCCACTAATTACGGGGAGCTTTTCGGGTATAACTTAATGAGTGAATTGAGTTTTATATTTTTGGCAAGGCTTAATACTGTATGAGATTATAAACTGACAAAGTATTTTTTATAGGAATTTAGTAAATTATATATTTTCTAAAGTGATATACTTAATGATGAAAAGTATAAACTACTGTATTTTAGAATCTGTACCTTTATTGGTAACTGTAATAACATTACTTGTACAGTATTTAAAATTCATAATAACAGTAAACAAATTGTCTTAATTAGGATGAAGAAATACGTGAGATTTATGCTACATGATTTAACACATAAACGTCTATACATAATAGTAATTAGGTACTTCTTTGCTTCTCTTTTTAAATTGGGTAAGATAAGTACAACATTTAATTGCATTTGGGAAGTCATTCCACAATTTAGGGCTCAGATTTGCATGGCATTTCTGTTTTGATCGAGTTATGCTCTTTGAATATCAACGTGTCTCACGTGTAGTGTCTATAGGTTATCTTGCAGCCCTCTTAAAAATATTTGTCAGGATTAGAATTTTGCTTCCAGAGGTGTAGAGTACACTTGAGTGTGTGTGTTGTGCTTTCATTTATCTAAACATGAATTGTAACAACACCGCCCAGTTCCGGACCTCCCTAAATGTTCAGGGGCATTTAATGTATTTAAGTAACAGTCGATCACATTAAAACTATTGAGAGCACCCGCGGGACGCAACCAGGAAACACTAATGCCCCTTTTGTTACTTGCACGATCTAACGTAAATTAACAAGAAAAAAATTAAGCTTTCCATTATTTTGTTCCTCCCCTTTTACTAAATCTTTTGGTCAAAAACTCATCTATGTCTTATCTAAAGCTGCTAATTTCAGAGCTCTATAATTCCTAAACATAGCTTTATGCTCTATTAACAATTGCCAAATAACACCTCTACAGTTTCCCAAAGCGTAGGGCCTCACAATGTGTAAATCCGGCTGTATGTGTGTGTGTGTGTGTATGTAAAATATACCAATAGAACATATACAATTGTAAAATATACACAATTTTGGCACTATTAAACATTGACAAACCTTTGAAAATTTGTATATAAAGATCTCAGACAAGAAATTGTCTAGGCGTTAGTTCTTAACTGTTCGCCTCTGTTCACCCAGCAGTAATTGGGTGCCTGGTTTTTAACCGATTGGCGGATCGTGTTCCAGGGAAAACTGGTGGGTAAGGTTTACCATAAACTATATGGGAAGGGAAATCTCTCAGCTTGCTAACACGAGTCGTAAGTCGTCTATTCCTCTACTTACCTCTGTAAAAAGAAAAATCGTATTGAACAAAGACATTTTCACATTACAACACTATGGTATAGCCTTATGATAGGAAAATCACACGTTTTAAAGAAAGCGCCTAACTAACTGTGCAAGAAGTGACACATAATTATAATCATTTGGAGGTACCTAATACGCATTTAGCATCATGTAGCCTATCGTTAGAAAATATCAAATTTGATGTACAGACTTATGCTGTTGTTGTTTTAGATTCAGCAACTCTGAACAAAAGTTCCAAGTAACACGGGGTATGGTGAGCCCGTAGTGGACTAATAAATTAGGCGATACCCGAAGCATTTTAGCGTTGCCGTTCCTGGCCGGGGATGAGGCACACGGGGCATGATAAGCGAGACAGTTGACATCGATTATAACAAGTAAAAGCTTGGCAAAGAGTCGTCTGGATACACGACTCCAGACATCTCTCCTGGCACGCTAATCAAGCCTAAAACTGCGTCTTAAGTTTATGAGAACACTGTGTGAGAATAAACTGACCATCATGGCGGTAGCGACGAGAGTACCGGAGAGACAATACTGGACAAGTCCTGCCGCTAGCTAGGCTCATTCCAACCGTGAGTAATTTCCTTTCTGAGAATAAACAACGGATGTCCAGCCCACGTTAGTGAGTGATATCACGCGCCTTATCTCAGTAGTGAGCACTGCTCCAACTAAGAATACTATAGAGGCGACACTTACACAAAGAAGTGAGCAGACAGTGGCATACTATTAAAGATGCAGAGTCTCTGCAGAGATGCGCCCTTATATATGCAGTACATACATACAGTAAATAGTTAAAAACAAGAAATGCGTTAATAGTATTAACAATAATATTGTATATTGTAAAGTTGATCGTGTATTGTTAAACTATTTAGTGGGGTCGTATTCCGGGCAACATAGGATACCTGCCCGAAACGCAACGCGTGCTAGTGGCTGTACAAGAATATTAGGACTCTTGTGTAAATAAATAAATAAAAACTATCGCCAGAGGAACACAAAGAACATTGTGAGAGAAGCGGCGTCGCTTTCCAAACTCAGACTTGCTTTTAATTATATGTATGTTGAAATACTTAAACTTTTGCGAGACCAAAATTGGAATATGCAGTAGTTGTATATTCCAATTTGGTGCCCAAATCTTAAGAACAACATCAATAAACTGGAAATAGTGTAACGGGATGCTACAAAATGGCTTCCTAAACTAAAAACAAAACAAGAGTTACGAGGAGAGACTAGAGGCGTTAAACATGCCAAAACTAGAAGATAGAAGCAAAATAGGTGATATGATCACCACTTACAAAATACTAACAGGATTCGACCAAATTGACAAAGAGGAATTCCTGAAGCCAGCAACTTTAAGAACAAGAGGACACTACATTCAAGCTAAGGAAACAAAGATGCCGAAAACATATTAGAAGATTTTTCTTTTGCAAACAGAGTAGTAGATCGCCAAAAGTCAAAACCGTCAGTAGTTTCAAAACGTCATGACAAAGAGTATTGGGAAGACTGGACACCACGAGCGTAGCTCATCCTATACAGTAATTACACTTAGGTAATTACACACACATCCTCAGGAAGCAGCCCGTATCTATCTAACTCCAAGGTCTGTACATATTTACTACTAAGTTAATTGGGTGAAAGAAACTGTCCATTTCTTTCCGCCTCGGCCGGGTGTGTGTGTACTCGGCTAATTTACGTAAATCTGTATCTATGTATTTACGTATGTAGGTTAGCTTAGCATTTTAAAAGTACCGAATCACCTTCTGTCGTCGATTGTTCAATAAATCCATGAACTATATGTTTAACTGATCTCTAACCCTGTCTATGGAGGACAGAAGAAAACGCATATATCCTAGTTAGCATTGTAAATGTGTGGCCACGTCTGTGGTAGAAAATAATAAAAATAATAATAAAAACACCACCAACCGCACTAACTGGAGCGGCACCCATCACCGCGGTCGTCATCTCACACGGGGCATCATCCACAACCAAGACATCCTCACGCTCGGGCAAGGGAGGAAAATCCGCTTCATGAAACACATTTACCCGATCATACACCCAAGTGTCCCAGGCAGCAGCCAAATGTCCAACGTGGCCACATTTAAAACACGTCCGAGTCTGCCCACGGTAGGAGAAGCAGACCGTAAAGCCAGCAAGCACGAGAGAAGAAGGCACATTCCCATGAAGAACCATCTTAGCCGTTCTGTAACCAGGGAAACATTCGCTAATTTTAATGTACAGTATAACCCAGAATGAAGTTTCCTCGAATTAAGTTAATTGATATAAAATTAGACCTAAGATGGGTGTTTTGGTTGTGTCGGCAATTGTTTGTATTTACTGTTGGTGGATGAAGCATTTAGAAAGGAGATTCGAATAGACGAGGCGACCGAAGCAGTGTTGGAGAAAAGTTCGAAAATCAGCAATTGTGAAACGAGCATTAACCCCGTGAATATAAGGATGGGATGGTGCATTTGCCGTACGTTCGTGAAGCATTTAAAGAGGTGCGATTAGGAACACAGGAAGAGACCGAAGCACTGTTCGATAAAATGTTGAAAGTAATCATTTGGGAATCATGAGTAAATTGCTTTTCAGTCATTAGCAGGTGTTTGGGAACTGGGTTGACGAGCATTTTGTCATTGTTTACGAGGACGGACTGGACGATATAGGTGTACCGGTAACTCAGTGCATTTGTAGAGTCCAGAGTTTAGTGCAAGTCAGTGCTTTGTGCATCCCGGTGTTTTTGTGTAACCCAGTGCTTTGCTTTTGTGTTACTCAGTGGTTTTGTGTTACCTCAGTTGTTTATTGTTTTGTTACCCAGTGCTTTACTTTTGTTATCCCGTGCTTGTGTGTTACCCAGTGGTTTACTTTTGTGTTACCATGCAGTGCTTTACTTGTGTGTTACCATGCAGTGCTTTACTTTTGTGTTACCATGCAGTGCTTTACTTTTGTGTAACCCAGTGTTTTTGTGTTACCGTCCGTGTATACACAGGATGTCTAAATGTAGCACAAAACTTGGATAATTCAGCGGCAAAATTTCCATTCGACGGAATTGGTAATAATTTACTCCAGTCCTGATCCCCTTGCTCTAAATGCCACAGTAAATACTGAGCTAAATAAAGTCCATCTGTGGCTAACTGCCAACAAACTCACCCTTAACATTGACAAAACCTTCTATATTCTGTTTGGCAATAAATCCTCTAATCAAATAAATCTCAAAATAAACAATACCCAAATTTGTAACAAATTAGATGGCAAATTCCTTGGCATTCTCATTGACCACAAGCTAAATTTCCAGGGACACATTCTAAACATATCAAAAAAGCTTCAAAAACTGTGGGCATTCTTTCTAAGATCAGATATTATGTACCACGCCCTGCCCTGGTGACTCTCTATTACTCCCTTATCTATCCATATCTCAACTATGGTATTTGTGCTTGGGGCTCTACTACCCAAAATCACTTACGTCCTCTAATTACTCAACACAAAGCTGCTATTAGGACAATATCCAATTCTGAACCCAGACATCACTCGGTACCCCTACTCAAATCTCTGAATATGTTAGACATTAAGTCACTGCACATTCTCTCATGTGTATTATACATATATAAAACGCTAAACTATAATGCCAATCCTGATTTCAAAAGCTTCATAGAAATTGAAATTGAAATTGAAATAAGTTTATTGAGGTAAAATACACACAAAGGGATGAGGTAGCTCAAGCTATTCTCACCCCATTCAGTACAACGTGTTAATATATACATAGACACACATCACAAATAAACATATTGCCAAACATTCTGAGAGGTAAACATATACATTTCCTCCTTCACAAGGAGTATGTTATCAGACGTACACACAAATACTTTTATGACCTAGGTATACTGTATAGACAAGCTTCATAGAAGGTTGTAACAGAACCCATGAGCACCACACCAGAAATAAATACAGTTTTGATATTCCTAGAGTACGACTTAATCAAACTAGAAATGCTCTACAAATCAAGGGGCCCAGAATGTGGAATGACCTTCCCAACCATGTTAAAGACTGTACCTCTCTCAACCAGTTTAAGTTAAAAGCGAAGCTATACCTAATAAATTCCCTGTAACCTACCTTACCCTTCTATTGTCAACCAATGTCTGTTTTTTCTTTAAAGAGCGCTGTTTGTCGACATAATTGTATTTGTGCTGCTTTTTCATCTATGTTTTCATTTCTTGTTTTCATTCTACTCATTATGCTCAATTAGTATTAAGCTTGTCATTTAAGTTTATCATGCCCGAAACGCTTTGCGTAATAGTGGCTTTAGGAATTGTATGTACTAGCTCTACCTATAAGTCAACCAATCCTTGTAAAAATTTATTGTATGTATGTACCTTACCTAAATAAAATTGTAATGTATTGTATTGTATAACTTGATCTTGGAAATATAACTGACGTTTGTATTGTAAACATTACATAAGAAACTTGGCGGTCGAAGATGGCTAAAGCTTCAGAGTGAACCTTTCAACACAGCCGGGTGGTACCCCATATGATCACAAAGCCCACTGGCACACCCACCTGCCAACCTATATCCTCAGCCGCCCATGTAGGGCAGGACTGACCGTTGCCCAGCTAAGAGTGGGTGAGTTTTTCAGGCGTGTTAATTCTGTTGATAGACGACGAGCCTTTAAAGCAAACCCGTCTGCCAGAATTTACCATAACTGGCCGTTGTTAAGGTTTGTGTCTGTTTGGCATTGTCTTTATTTATGGTTAGGTTTTCTGAAGGGTTTTATGGAGCAAAAATTTTTTTTTTTTTTTTTAGTTTATGATTCGATTTTCGATTTCTAAGCAACGTTTTCTTTGAGTGTTGTGTGTATGTGAATGTGTGGGATCCTTTATTTATTTATTTATTTATTTATTTATTTATTTATTTATTTATTTATTAATTTATATATATACAAGAAGGTACATTGGGTTTGTGAGAATACATTGGATAGTACAGTATTTACATTCTTGTAAAGCCACTAGTACGCACAGCGTTTCGGGCAGGTCCTTAATCTAGCAGATAATATTAAGTAGGTAATTTCAATCAGAATTGATAAATGATAAAGATACATTACAAGAGAAAAATGAGATGAGAGAGATAAGTAGGTATATTAAAGCACATTGTTATATTAAAGCTCTGATTGATTACATTGACAGCTTGATTAGTAATTTAAACAAGGTTAATAGACACCATACAGCAGGTTGACAGCACATATAAGACAGCAATGATCACAATGGTAAAGATGTTCAGATTGGGTACATAAAGATTGGGAGACTGGGTAGCAAAAGATACAGATAAACAAGATTTATAAACACCATACAACAGATTGGCAGCACATATAAGAAAACAGCAATGATCACAATGGTAAAGATGTTCAAATTGGGAACATAAAGGTTGGGAGATTGGGTAATTGATACAGTGCAATTTTAAGGCAAAAAGTGAAAAACTATGAAGATGAAATTAGGTACTTTTTAGTATTGATTTTGAATGGTGTAAAAGTTGAACAGCTTTTCAATTCAGTAGGGAGTGAGTTCCATAAACTGGGTCCCTTTATTTGCATAGAGTGTTTACACAGATTAAGTTTAACTCTGGGGATATCAAAGAGATATTTATTTCTGGTGTGG